AACAGCACCAAATGCTACAGAGAAGTCTGCAGAGAAAGGAAGAGGCCACTGATGTGGCAAATTGCATTGCTGTCTTATTTTAAGAAATTGCCGCAGTCACCCCATCCTTCGGCCACCACCGTCCTGATTGGCAGTAGCCATCCACGTGGAGGCAAGATCCTCCACCAGCCAAAAGATTACGACTCACTGAAAGCTCAGATGATGGCTAGCATTATTTGCTAATAAAGTATCTTAAAATTAAGGTATGTACGTTGGTTTTTAGATATAATGCTATTGCACATTTAATAGAGTATAATGTAAACATAACATATATCTGTGGGCAAACCAAAAAATTCATGCGTCTCGTTTTGTTGCATTGGTCTGGAACAGAACCTGAAATGTCTCTGCGGTATGCCTATAAGTCTAAAGGGCTGCTTGCGTCATAATGATTACAGTCATCATGAAGAAGCGAGTTCAACAAGATAGGGGTGGATTTTCACTAAGGAATTGTGAAATAGATATTGAGTGGAGAAATTTGGAATGATGACAGATGGGATTGTGTAGACCTGGCCCCCAAAATCACCCAGAAAGGTACTGGAAGTGATGTCAGTGTAGCAACTAGCAGGTAATAAATGGCACTGTCAGGGGACTAATTGAAAGAGGTTAATAAAGGTCTATTCACAGAGATGTGGGCAGCAGAAGGGGCCCACCAAAGAGTGTGAAGCACCATGAAGTAGTAACAGCAGAAAGCAGTTATGACCCTAGACTTCCAGGGCAAAGGAAGAGAGCAGTGCTTCTGGAAACCCAAGAACGGTTGCATGTGGGGGCTATGACAGTGGCTGTGGTGCTACACAAAAGAGCACAGCTTCTACCCGAACATCAGCAGCCAGCAAGGAGGAAGCAAAGGGGAATAAACACTCCAGCACTTTTCCTGCCTTCTGGTTTCTTGTCAGTTGTTACCTACTGGCCAAATCTAACTTGAAGCCAGAGGGAAAAATATTGCTATTCATGTGTTTTGTTGAGGTTTGCTTTCTGAAACACACAGCGAGGGAGAGAAGGGCAGAGAGTGCATCTGGAGGGGTTGATGGAATGTAACTAGCATAGGCATCGGGTTCTAGGTGAACTTTCTCTCCCGCCAAATTAAAAAGCCCTTGAACTTATCATATACCATTTGCTACTTTACTCAGACCGTTAAAATGTACACATCCTTCCACATCCAAATAACTCATTTGCTTATTGGTGATTTTTCAGATAGTTGATATCATTCTGGTTTGGTAGGTCCATAAAATGGTTTCAGTCTCCACCTCTACGACGTAAAAAAAATGAGTGAATATGATCTTGACAAAGAAGAGAGATAATGGGAGGGAAGAAGAAAAGATCTGATTCAACAAAGGGCAAAGACTAATTGCCCAAAATATATGTAAATATCTAAAAAGCTGTAAGTAGAATATCAATTTAGTAGGTCATCATTCCCAAAAAATGAGTTCAGGGGAAGCAGTGAACAGCAAATACCTTTCTTAGTTCTCAGCTGCGGATCCCTATCTCCCTTTTCTCTTCTCTCCTCCTCTCTTTTCTTTTCTATCCCTTCTCTTACTCAACTGTCTTTAATATAGTAAAACCAAGGGAATAACAAAAGAATTTCAGTTTCTTTTATTTTAATAAACAGTTCTTACTTGTGAGGGCCTAGCTAATATGCTCTCTCTGAAGCCCTTGCTTATTCTTTTTCTCCAGCCATTGAAAAATATCCTCTGTTTTTGTTACCATCTCCATACCCATAACCTTTTTCCAGTATTTTAATATTATTAAATTTTATTAAAATAATAAAGGTCAGCCTTTTCTAGGATAGTCTAGTACAAGTTGCCATGTTCATAGAAACATATAATAAAAAGTGGTAGAATGAATGTTAGTATAGAAGATGTCTAGTTATCCACTCTGAATACGCAGATAATTGAAAATGTTCGTTTTAGTCAACCTACTTTGTCAGCAGCCATTTGTCAGAGTTGTTAATAATAATCAGCCACATCAGAGTGATATGATACACAGATCATTTGCGTCTTTCTGCCGTTACCTAACTTTTATTCAATTTAGAGTGTACTGTAGGAAATTAAATAGCATAAGGATAGAGAGAACATAAGGTAGAGCATAGATACATGCCGCATCTAGAACCAAGATTAAATCCACTGATGAGAGATTACTGATCAGTTGAGTATTCCAGGCCTGGGCCCCCTTTTGTCTCATAAAATAACCATTCATGAGGAATAATTTTCTACAACAGTATCTTATGCACTGTATTCCTTTTTATGCCAGTCATCAAGAATAGCCCCGGACATTGGGGAACCCCTCATCTCCCACACTCCGCATGTGTCTGCAAATCCCCCTTTCTCCTTTCTGTCCCTGCCTTCTACTCATCTTTTCCCACCTCTTAAAACCCTATCGCTATACCCTCTGCAACTCACAGTCCGTCATCAGCAAAATCAGCTGTTTCTTCTACCAGTTCTTTGTAGGCATCCCTTAACTTCTTGGTTTCATGAGAACCTGTAACTTCTCTGAACACACCGTCTTCTATGAAGTCCTATCAAGGGCTGGCTGTTTTTCTTCCCACAGCCCTCATACCTCAATGCCTGTACTAGGTGTCCTTCCTCTTTTATGACTGATTCCTGTCCTCCCTCCCTAAAAATTCCAAATCCTGAGTCTCCTCTTATAGTCATGTTCCAACCCCTAGTCATTACTTGTCATTTTTTGTTGATTTGAGCACCTGGCTCATTATCTTCAACACTACTTCAGCCCTAATTTGTGGATTAAATCTTCAGAGATGCTTCTAACACACTGGTTCTCAGTTCCTTGACCTCCTTTCCTCGAAGAATATTTTCCTCTACCCCACCTCATTGCTATAATTTCTTCTTACTCTCAGTTCCATGTGTTCTATACTCTAATCATCACCTTCTGTCTTCCTAGCTCATTACTTATTCTAACAATCCTTCAGTCCTTTTGGAACCTATTTTCCATTGATGCTGTAAGCTTTTCTGCCCCTCATACCTCTAATGTCCAATCTCCCCTCCTCAGTCTGCCTCATTTTCATAGCCATTCTACTCACCCCTTGCATACTATTCCCTTGCCCTTCTCTTACATTATCATGCTCTTTTGGTAATGGTGATGACTCCGTTAAATCCCGCCCCTCATCTATCCTGCCCTGATTCCGTGCAATGTAACGTGCCTGGACAAGACCACTCCAACATACTGACACTCTTTAAACTAATGGTTGCAATCCTCATGTAAACCCCTAATTTAGCTGCTTGGCAGTCCCAAAACATGTCTTAGCTTAATTTTGTCCAGCTCTCCTGGACTGGTTCTTCTCAGTCTGTGTGTGGTGAAGGACTAGTTTTTTCTCCACTTGACTGTGAACAAAATACAATGAAGTGAATAGTTAAGAAAACTGACATTTTAAAAAGACATAAAAAACATAAGCCCGAATTTTTAATTAGATTTAACTAAAATGAAATCACGATTCAACAAATATGTGCCGAATAATCATAAGAAAAGAAGAAATAAAATTATGAAAATTATGCATGTTCATGGAAAGTGTTGCTGTACAATGAAACAAACCCATTGATCACACGAGGCACACTTCTGTTTCTGTACTGTTAAATTATTTATTGCAAACCAGTAACAAACAGTTTGCAGAACAGCATAAGACCTTGGACC